CAAATTTGGTGATTACTTCCAGCACCAACACAGCCATATCTAATCAGAAACAATTATAACACAGATATTTTTCATTAACTTTTATTTTTTTGGAAGCAGGCAGAGGAATGTGCATTAGGAAACATTTCACTTAAATAATAATTTTATTTTCAATAAACTACTTATTTACCACTCATTCAAGGGGTGTGGAAGAGAGAACCCAAGATCAAAAGAACAATAATGTTCTAGAGAATGACAAATACTTCACATTAAACAGTGAATGAAACTATTTGGTATACCAAGATAAGGAAAATAACTTCAAAAGAGTTGTTTTTTTTAACAACAAGAACTGAAGCTTTGGCTTTTTTAATGTCACAGCAACAATTTCTCAGTTCATTTCATTCTCATCATTTCTATTAGACAAAGGGCTTTTTTTGCATAGATGCAAGGGTTGGTGCCTGCCTCCCAGGAGTATCTAACAAGTTGCTACTCCTGTGTTATATCTGGTGCAGTGAGATATGGAGAGCACATGGAATGAAAAGGAATAGACATAAACTCCTTAACTATATTCTTCAATTAATCATTCAGGCTTAGTATGTTCACAGTCCTAATTTATTACTGGAGTAATACAGTGCGAGTGTATGCAATTTCAGGACAATATAACTTATGAATATTTTTGTGCTTAAGTTGAGAAAAAGGTTCATTCCACCATTTGCTCAATAGTTTAATGAAAAGAACACAGCCCTCATAATTAAAAGACTTTTGACTGTGTCCTGGCGCTAACACTCATAAGCTACTTCTGCAGGCCACAGTTGTCTATAAATAAGTATTATAATACCTACATCACAGCTGTGTAAGGAATGGGGATACCGCAAAGAAAACACATACTAGTGTCTTCTCACATGGTAATTGCTTAGTGCTTGTTATGAGCCTTTAGACAAATAAGTTAATAGATCATAGTCCCTGTCTTACCTACTATTGGATGTTAACTAAATCATAGGAATTAATAGATGTAAAAGTGCTTCACAGACTATAAGATGATGTGCATATGTAGAATAAGGGAATATGTACCAATATTCATTGGGTATTTATTGCTACCCTCTTTCAGGTCTCATTAATTCTCTTAACAGCTCAATGAGACAGTTGTTTCTGTCCCATTTGAGGATAACTGAGACTCAGAGAGTCAAATATATTCCTAAATTCACCCAGTTTTAAAGTAACCAAACTGGGCTAAAACTCAGTTCAATCCAACTACAAAGTTCACAACATCATGCTGCTTTACCATGTATTACTTCTGGTGAGAAAAAAATTAAGTTCTTAATAGGCTTCTGACCTCTATCCTGCACTTTTCTGTGGAATTAGAATCCTTATTGTCCAGCATTCTCACCCCGCATCCTTCCCCCTTGCCCCCCAGAAAAGGGTGATACAACTGTGTGACCTTAGACAGGATTCATTTCATCTCTCTAAACCTCAATTACACTTGTCTGTAAAAGAGAAAAAATATCTATCTAGCAGGGTAAGGATCAGAAATAATATGTATCAACTGCTAGCACAGAGCATACTCTCAACAAAGAGGAGCTATTATAAAATTTGACTCCTCAATAATGAACAATGCCCATAGATTAAAAAGTACATAATAACATCTATTGCTAACAACATAACCTCAGGTTTAAAAATGATAAGACAAAAACCAAACCTGTTAGATAAGAGGTAAACTGCTTTGGACCACAGCGAATAGCGTAACGTGTAGTTGTTCTCACAGCTTTTGGTTCAGTCTGCAATGCATCCCTAGGACAAAAGAGGGTTCCATCTGACGTTTCTCCCCACCATCTCACTCGGACCAGTACACAGGCAGGAGGCTTTGCAATCTTCCATATGACTTTATTAACAGTAAGTTTCAGAAAGCAGCGCAGCTGGCCTTCAACTAGGGGTGGTAAGCTTGTAGATGGAGAAATGTCACTCAGACCTGTGGAGGAATACAAGAACACTATGTCAAAATTTATACTACATAGAGAAAACATACACAGTTGACAACTGGGGATTGGGGTACTGACCTATGCAGCCAAAAATCTGTGTGTAACTTTTGACTGCTCCCAAACTTAACTATTTAACAGCCACTGTTGATTGAAAGCGTAATCAATACCAACATATATTTTGTATGTTATATATTATGTATTGTATTTTAAAAATAAAGTATACTAGAGAACAGAAAATGTTAAAATCTTAAGAGAAAATACATCTATATACTAATTGAAAAAAATCCATTTATAAGTGGACCTATGCAATTCAAACCTACTGTAATCTGCTTTTTGAATGAAACCACTTTAGCCTCTTCAAAAATGTTTATCCTACCTACTCTAGAATTAGCAAAGCAGACAATAAAATACCTTATCTGGTCACAAATGCCACTCTGATAACTCATTAATTTAGAGTTTGACTCAGGTTATTCTTAGTAAGACATGTTAATTCAAGCTCCTCTTTTACTGAAAGATACAATTGAAAAAATACAAATATACAATGATACAATGTAAAACCTAAGTAGTTGAAATTTTTCTTCTAAGTACTGTTATTTTGCTTATTGCAATATCCAATTTTTAAGATGTTGCCTTAACCTAACTCTTACTTTAAAATTATCATTAAACATAAAACAACAATGACCTTCACTCGAGTCTTAAAAAGACTAATTCTATGCCTTACAACTCAGGATTTCAACAAAGACATTAAATGATCTTTTCTTTCCTGTTGACATTGACATTATCTGAGGACAGAGACCATCACATCAGATTTTGCCACTTTTTTTTTTTTGCACAGTGCTGAATTCTTAATATTTATTGGCTCTTTTATTTACTGGATTTCAGACATAATAAACTATAATTGAGGCAATTAATCATGAATTTCCATAAAACTTTCCCTGTTTTATATGGAAGAACCTGATTACTTTCCATTCACAGTATTTTCTAACCAAGACTTGGAGAAGAATTAAGGAACCAGTCCTCTATTACATACACCTTTCTAGTTCTCTGACTTTGCCCTTGGAGAATGACCATGCCTGACAAGAAGAAAATATACTGGAGTGCATCTGATCAGGAATGTATACAATCAATCCTATGGATTTCTAAAGTGAACACCACCTCTGCTCTCTACTATGGAGAAAAGACCCACCATCATTTTTATGGATATCTAGTTTTAATATAAAAATTATACACAGGACTATACATGAGCATCACCACATATGTTTAAGTGGTTAGACACAAGGAGTCCAGCATTAAACACTTTCATGCTGCTTTCTGACTTACATTCTTCTATCATTTCTGGCAGGAAAGGCACTGCCTTAAAACTACAATTGGATAAGACTTCAATCTTCAACAACTAATCATTATCACTATTCCTAAAAACTCTGTACCTATAATGTGAAAAAAGAGTCAACCTATGTTTTGGGTTTGTTTGTTTTTTCCTTTTGCTTTTTGAGGCAGTCCTGTAAAGATTCAAATTCCAGTTTCCTATCTGTTCTAGGTTTCTAACACAAATATTCTCGTTGGAGCTACTATTTCCCTGCTCTTTTAGTGAGCTTGTTCCTCCTTGAGCAAACAAACGTGATATCGCCCTCCTGCTACACATTTTCATCTTCTCAGATCCTTCAAGGATGCTCATGCCCTCACCCCACTCCAACCCTACCACCTCCTAACCCATTCTTTCTTTCTCTTTTCCTCTACAACTGTCTTTTCCAGTTTCTGCCTGTATCCCTTCATGCTGCATGATTGTTGTATCATTATTCACTAATTTCTACCCAGTCCTGTTGCTTTGTGCTTGTTCTTGGGAGTTCAAAAATGCGAAGTATGATCCTTGCCTATTAGGATTATTGCCCTTACTCCCCTCTAGTCTCAGATAGACCTCCAAAGCTACACGCACACACACATTTAACTTTTTCATCAAAAACATGTTTAAATCCTGACGATGTCATGTGCAGCACGTGACTATAGTTAATAACACATTATCGTACATTTGCAAGCTATCTAAAGAGTAGATCTTAGAAGTTCTCATCACAAGAAAAAAACTTTACAACTGTGAATTGTGATGGATGTTAATTAGACTTGTGATTATTTCGCCATACATACAAATATGGAATCATTATGTTGCACATCTGAAACTAACATGTCATGTCAGTTTCATCTCAACAGAAAAAGTGAAAAAAAAAAAAACTTCTAAAATTTTCTGTTCCCTTCTTCTAAGAGTCCCATCTGTATGTATCCCTTTAGTCCTCAGATCGCCCCATTTATCTGTTCACTCTGCCACTTCCAGAGCCCATTTCCTTTTCATTCGTTGGAAGGGCAATTGCCCTCTTTTAGCCTTCTGATTCCTAGTTATTCTCCCTCCTCCTTTCCTATTTTTTTTTTTTTAAACAGGAGGCTTGGGGATGGGGGGAGACAGGTGAGGGGGTCTCCCTGAAATTCTCCACGCCCAGCTCTTCTAACCCCACCCTATTACGCTTTCCTCAACCTATTGATCGTGTAGGTTACCTCGCTTCTTGCGGCCACGGCCGCCTCCGGGCCCCTGGCCTTTTCTTTGTTTCATGACCCGTCCGAGTTCTTCTTCAAGTCAATTCCAGCGCCAGCGCCTAAACTGTGCCCTCCCGCCATCCCTTCCCACAGCGCCTGCGTTCCCCGGCAACCGGCGCCGCAGGGCAGCCTGGGAGGCAGGAAGAAGCGCTTCTTCCTCTAACAGCCTTCGGGAGGCAGAGTGAAAGGAAGGCGCCAAGAACTCCTTCCCGCCAAAAGACTACAACACCCAGGATGCTTTGCTACATTACCTCTGCAGGGTTGGACAGGGTCCCCGCCAGCTGCGCACGCGCAAAGGGATACTCCCGCCGAGGACTTCATTGCCCAGGGTGCATTGCCCTCAGAAGAGTTTCTTCTTCCGGCGAGGGTCGTCGAGGTCTCCCTGTGGGGTCTGCAGGGTCCGCAGACTCCGTTACCCAGCTTCCTTTGTGGAGGGCTGTTGCGCACTTCCGGTGGAAGCGCCGAGGAGAAGGGGTGGGGTTTAATGAGCCGGTGGGCGGTAGGCGGTGCTGCTGGTAGCTGGGTGCTGTCCAGAGGCGACTGGGCGTCGCTAGGGGAGCGAGCTGTGGCCGGTTGAGCCGTGCTTAGCGTGCGACGGAGCTTTGGCTGCAGTTTGACTACGTGCGGCCTCCACTTCATGTCGGCCCTCGAGAAGAGCATGCACCTTGGACGTCTGCCCTCTCGCCCTCCTCTGCCTGGGAGCGGGGGCAGCCAGAGCGGAACCAAGATGCGAATGGGGTACGTGACCCGAACCCCCTCTCCCGAGAGCCCAGGCCTGAGCCATTGGAGGGTTGGGTCTCTGGGTATTCAGAGCGGCGAGGGAGGCTGAGGATGGGAAAGAATTTTGGCGGCGGCCTGGAGACGTTTAGATGGAGTGGAAGGCAGATTGGGGGGACTAGGAGAAGCGCGAAGTCAATGGAAATGGGAGGACAAAGTACTGAAGGGAAAGGGATTGAGGCAAAGATTGGGGAAGCTCAGAGGGTGGGGATGGGAGGAGGCACATCCAGAAGAGGAGATGGAGGAGGAGGTTTGAGGAAAGAGAGCAGAGCTCTGACAAAGGTGTGGGGGAATCTGCCAGGGGCAGGGTCGTTGAGGGAAGTGGGGAATGACAGAAAAGTTGAAGAGAATTAGTGAAACAACCCAAGAAAGATTTCGGAGGACTAAGAACTGGATATTAAAAATACTGAGGGTGATAGAGAATAATTGAGGCAGGGTTGGAGGAGGATAGACCTAGGGAGCAGAAGGTTCTAGAGTTTCCAGAGCTGTGAGAGGCATATTAGGTCTCTTAGGGGATAACTGAAATCTCTGAAGGGAGAAATGACAAAGCTTGGGGGACAGACCTAAAAAAAGGTGGAGAATATTGCTAAAGAGACTGTGAAAGGTAAAAGAAATGTGCTGAGAAGCTGAGGGTAGGGAATAAGGGGAGAAGAGATGGAGGAGAGGTCCGAGGCGCTTGGAGAGTGACCATGGGCTCTAGAGGTTGAAAACGACTGAGAATAGGGTTTGTTGAATGGAAGTGCTGCACATTAAAGGAAGCTTAAGGAGGAAGATTTGGGCAATTCATTTTTGCTGGACAAATAGATCTGTTGGAAGCTATCTTGTCGTTTTTTAGGACTCGGAATTAATGAAGCATTGAGAGAAACCTTAAAATGTTTTGGGTGAAACCATTTACAGGGAAGGGAGGAACTGTGTTGAAGAGACAGCCTTTTGGAATTTTAGGTTGTTGAATGTCTTGTGCCAGGTTCGGGGATCCTTAGGTGAGAGACTGTAATGCAGTGAACTTGGGAGAGGCTATTAATGAGTCAGAGAGAATTAAATAGGCATTTGATTTTAAGAATATTTGTAGTGTCAGGATTCTGGAGACTAGTGACTGTAAAAAGAAAAGGGGTAGGAAACGACATGTGGGTGTGAGGTAGCCAACAGTGCATTTTTAGACTTCTAGAGATGGGCTGGTAGATTTTCTTGATAAAAGGACTAGAGAGGAGAAACCTTGTTCTGAAGAAATAATGTATATAAAAACTGATCAAAAAGGAAATGAGGATGGGAAATACAGTACTGTAAAAGTGGTTTCTAGGAATGAAGAGGAAGGAGAATTCTATAAATTAAAACAGTGGGATAGAGGGGTGCTATGAATGGTTGGGAAAACCAGGGAATTACAGAAACCAAGAATTAAAGTGGAAACTGAATGATAACATAGAAGTAAAATGAGAAAACTGATAGCATATAAGCCCATGGACCAACAATTGAAAGTACTAGTAGAAGGATACTTAGAAGGTAAAATGAAGATTCTTTGGGTGTTGAAAGACAGAAAGGCAAGGCTGTAACATGAATAAGGAGGATCTGAAAACTGATCCAAAACAGATTATTTGGATCTGGGAGCTTACACTGGGGGTGGGGGTGTAAAATTAATGTAATATTTATTGTTGATCTGTATCTTAGTTGCTGTCTTTCTTAAACTTAACTTTGATCTTTCAGTATACCAGCACTCTCTCACAAAATATATATATGAAATACTAGCTTTTGAATAACTCCACATGCTTCAGATAATTTTAATTGGAGTATACAACTTCTCATTTTGTTAAAACAAAGTGATAATGGGCCTGAGGAAAAAGACTAAGAAAATAAAAGGAAAATCTGATTATAAGATTGTATAATTGTTGGCAACTTATACCCTTTAAATAGATGTTTTGGTTAATTTAATTTAGGTTAACTGCTTATCTTGGAAAATCAAGTTGTTTAGGAAGATGCTTCTTTATAGTATTGTGAAGGAAAAAAGCATATATTAATGAATCTTATGTGGTCCTCCAGTTACTTTCCTATATTTTTTTCTCTATGTCCATATGAGGCTGTTTTAACAACAGCCTCATGTAAGTCTGTTGGTGATAATAGAGACTCTCTCCCCTCTAGAATCATAATGCTGGAAGAAATGATCTCTTCTCATCCCTGTACTATACAGTTGAACAAACTGAGACTCAAAGAGACTAAGAGGCAGGGGATAGTATTTTCTTTTAATAAATGAGAAAACTGAAACTCAGATCTTATTTCTACGTTGGCACCCTAGAAACTTAGTGGTAGCATAAGGACTTGGGTTTTTTGACTTTGAGACCTGTGTTTTTTGAATCCATAGTTGTTCTGGCAGTACTTAATTTGAGTTGTGTCTATACTCTAGGATTTCATCTTTCTTTTTCAGTCAGTCCTGATTTATGAAATCTCACTTCCACCAGTTTCAAAGTATCTTTCTTTATTTCTGCTTTTACTCTTTCACTTTTTTATATTTCTTTCTTTTTCTGCTCCCCCATCTATCTTACGTATTCCTTTAACACTCTTCTATGACTTATTCTTTCAACTATTTTTTATAATCCCTTGCCTTCAACTTCATTAAATCTTATTTTGATTTGTTTTACTATTCAGGGTAGTTTTTAATTTATGATTTTTCTTGAGTTTCCGTATTTTAATTTTTAATATTGGTCTTAGTAATTTCAGAATATTACTAGATAATGTAATAATAGCAGTTTCTTTGTTTTTAGTAACTACTTTGTGCCAGGCATTGTAGTCGTAATTTTATGGATGTTATTTTATTTAATCTGCCCACAGCTTTACAAGGGAGGTATTTCCCTGCATTTGTAGATAAAGAAGTTTCATACTCAGAGAGGAAAGGTCACCCAACTAACATTTGGCAGAACCAGGATTCAATCTAGGTCTAGTATCTAGAATCCAGTCCCTTTTTAAAACACCAACACTTTCTCTTGAATACGGCCTGAAACCCTGGTTTCATTGTTCATTGGTAGATGATTGCAAAAATCCATGGTTTTGAACTTTTTAATTAAAACTTCTGGATCTATTCTGATTAAAGTAGATTTGGGGTCTCTGCTTTCAAATGGCATATCAGTTTGTTAGGATTGTCATAATACTATAGATTAGGTGATTTATAAACAACACAAATTTATTTCTATAGTTCTCTAGGGTTAAGTACAAGATCAAAGTAATGGCAGATTCGGTGACTGGTGAAAACTTTCGTAGACAGTGGTCTTTTTTCACTGTGTCCTCACATGATGGAAGGGAGGAGGGACTTCGCTTGGTCTCTTTTATAGGGACACTAATCCCCTTCATGAGTGTAAACCCTTATGATTCATCACCTCCCAAATGCCCTTATTTCCAAATACCATCGCATTGGGTGTTGGGATTTAACATGAATTGTGAGGAGAAACAAATGTTAAAGCTATGGCACCTGGTGTGCTTGAAAGAGTAAAATTTGAGAATCATTGCATTTAGTACATTCCATTACTAGTTGAGATTATGGTTTGTTAAAACCACTTACTTTCAACGTATTTTTGGTTTATCATTAGTGCTACTTTTCTGTAGTTTTATCTTGCATTTCTACAGTGCTTTAACTGGTATGTACTTATTAGTGCTTTCTGTATTACTCTATGAGGTAAATTCGGGCAAGGGTTAATCTCTTAGTGAGAAAACTGATGTTCATTGACTTACCTAATACCACAGAATCCTAAGTGGTAGAAACAAGATTCTGTATGGGTTAGCCTGTTCTGGAGATGTCAAATAAATGAAATCATACACTATGTGGTCTTTTGACATGACTTCTTTTACTTACTGTTTTTAAGTTATATTAGTACTTCATTCCTTTTTATTACTCTAATGATATTCCACTGTATAGATATGCCACATTTTATTTGCTGGGCACTGAGTTGTTTCCAGGGTTTTGTTTGTTTGTTTGTTTGCTATTATAAATAATGCTGCTGTGAACATTCACTTGCAAATCTTTGTGTGGGATATGTTTGCATTTCTCTTGGGTAAATAAGAATGGAATTGTTGGGTCATATGGTAAATTATCTTTAACTTTTTTTTTTTTTTTAAGGAAGGATACTCTTTTTTTTTTTTTTTTTAAGATTTATTTATTTATACAAGCACTGGGTACAGTCAGAAGCACAGGAGGGTGAGAGAATTCACCAGAGCCAGAGCGGGGAGCAGAGCAGGCAGAAGGACCGAAGTACACTGCTGAAGGGAGCAGCGGGCGAAGTACACTGCTGAGGGGAGCAGCGGGCAGCAGGAGAGGTCTGCACACCATGTGGGACCCTCCTCCAGTGGCCGGGGAGCAGCCACGGATCGAACCGGCGCTGTAGAGGCTGCGGGCAGCTTCGCAACCCGGTGCTCAACCGCTGCGCCACCAGGGAGGCCCTATCTTTAACTTTTTAAGAAACTGCCAAAGTCTTTTCCAAAGTGGCTCTTTGAAGCTCTCTATGTATTAGGGATATTTTGTCTTTATAAGTATTAGAAATAGTTTTCCAAGTAGTCCTTTTACTTTACTTATGATATTTTTTGCCATGTAAAAAGTTTTGTTTTAAATTTTGATATACTTAGATCTATCTAGAATGTAGTGCTTCTGGATTGTGAATCACAGAAAGAAGACATTTCCTTCTTCCAGGTTATAAAGGAATTCATACATGTTTTTTTCCCCAGGACCTGTATGGTTTCTTCTTTTATGTCCATTTCAGCTTTATCTTAATGTGCAAAATGAGGAACATACCCAACTTTATCCTTACTCACACGCTATTCAGTTGTTGTAATGCCATTTATTAAAAAGTCCTTTTCCCATTATATGAAAGGGAAATAAAAACTAGATCCTTTTCCCACTAATTAAAGTGACATATCTATCATCTGCCAAATTTCCACATAGATAGGGATCTGCATACTTGGAGTTTCTTTTACCTGTTTATTTATAT